CCTCTCTTTTCTGGCCTCTCCATGCGGCTCTCCTTTGGCTCGGCGCCATCTTGGGCCGGCGCTCCGAGATCTTTCTTCTCAGCTGCTTCTTCGACCGCATGAACGGCCACACGCAGCTGGGCCTTCAAACTCAAACCTTCATTCATTAGATCAGTCACAGTTTGAAAAGCTGCACTCATTTTTCCCCCCTTGTTGTCCCATAGGGCCACTCTCTCTTTTATGGTGCGCTCCTCCGTCTCCGGGTCTTCACGGAGCTCGGACGGACGCCCGCGATCCCTCAATCTAGGCACCATCATGCCAGGGGAAAACCAATTGATTGGCGCCGGTTCTTTAATCTCCTGGGCACATCTCGGACAACGGGCACACTCCCGAGCTAGATCTGGGCTCACTGCGCCCGCCGGGTCGACTTTGGCGAGGGACATGGTATCGAGGGGCTTGAACAAGACCCGCTCATTGCCCATGATACACCCGAACGCCGCGAGGTGAAGATATACCTCTGCCCCTCCAAGGGCTTCGTCTTTGGAAGCTCCCTCTTTTTTTCTCAGCGAAAAGCGTCCGTTGACACATCTCTCGCCCGCTCCACCCGCCTGGTGATCAACAATATGCGCCTTCAGTTCTGCGATGCTCGCCACGCCGCGCTTTCCACTCTTCCAAGGACAACTCTTAACTAATTCCAGTTCTAGCGAGCCCTCTCCTGATCCCATCCTCGTCGCCATGTGCGGGCCGGGAGCGACCCGAGCCCTTTTCTGTGCTGCACGCGGGCTGTGGCCAGCAGCCCGGGCACGCTGGATCGGAGAGGGAGGGCAACGAGCTGGAATTAGGCGCAAATGCTTAGCGGTAGTTTTAAAGATTGTTTACTTACACCGAGATGGCAGTGGTGTAGGCTGGAGAACTTGCTTGAGTTGCAGTTACAGACACAGACAACATGGACGGTCGCGTGGAGTTTGCTAGGCTCCACGGAACAGAACTCCTGATGCTCTGGGTGAACACGCCACCAAAATCGAAATCGGAGATGCGTCTTATAAAATTTGTGATCGAAGATGGGAAGAGGTGGGCGATGGATCAGGTCGCCAAGCTCCTCTGAATCTCGCGCAGGGTCTCTCTTACCCTGCCGTGTATCCAGAGTCCCCACGAGATGGATGTGGAGTCCTCTTCAGCTTGGGCGGAAACCGCTCAAGCCTCTTATACGGCTAACAGGCCAATCGTTAGCCGCCACGTGGGAATAATTTAAAACTAGCCAATAGCGGGGAACGAATTTGCATACC